TGCAGCTTAGAAAACTGTATGATCTGTCCTAACGGGAGAGACGGGGATTGCATGAGTTTAGGTACAGTATACTTGATCTCATGTTATGCATGCGGCGAGGAATATATCAGGGAAATGGGTAGACCACTTTGTGTCCGCATAAAAGAACATCTAGATGGGAAAGCTAAAATCCGTTTAAACACCCCTCTAGGTACGCATAGGGCACAAAAGCACAACGGCGATGATTTTGAAGTGAATGTGCGGATCCTAGCGCAGGAACCAAAAACATCAACGCGCAAAACTCTTGAGGCGTTTTGGATAAATTTCAAAATCCAAAGATGAACCGGAAGGACGAATGCCTCACTATCACGCGTGGCCTCGGGGATGATATTTTGACCTCGGGGTGTGTCTTGCTCGCAAAATCCACGTGAACTACGTGTGGGCCACTGCCGCACGTAACATCACGGTGAGTGGCCTTTCCGTTCAATATGGCGTCTATTTGAAAGTTTGATCTTCATTAAAACTTTAACCTTCTTTTCCACCGAGTAATAAAAAGTATTCTAACATAAAGTACGTCCAGGCTCTGAGGAAGGCGAAGTCTCCGAAACGTCAGGCATCGATCAATAACATCAAAAACAACAACGACAACGAAGATCTGTACCAACCTCGCGTCAGCTTAAGAAGATCAGTTTATAAGATCACATAAATAAATATACCCAAAGTAATTAAGAATAGGAACGTTGCGCCTTACTAGATAGGGTGTGAAAATCCGGTTCAGTTTGTTGACAGATATTAATGGAAGTTATTTCAACTATATAGGTCTGATTCTGTTTCAACTGCGTGCTGTACGGTTCATCAGAGAAGACGTGAAACCTCGGTTATTGGAGAAAAGTATTACTGGAACGTCTTATCCAAGTGTTTTGTTCTGATATGGCGTTAGACGAGATTGAACGGTAGACAGGATAAAAATCAGGGACTATTTTCATAGCTGTCCTTTTACATTCAATGACTGTTCCGTCTTAGCTCAGGAAGACGATAATCTTCGGCAGATAATAGTTGCTGATGGTTTCTCAACTTTGCAACTGAAGCCAGTACTTCTACTCTTCTTACTTTAATATGTCCCCTTACCTTTGCAGAACTTGGATGAACTTGCTAGACAAATTAATACCATGCTATACAATATACTTCGACACCTATGAACACCCACAGTCGCAACGAGATGGGAATCAAGCAATGAATGTTGGAGATGGCAACAATACAAGAAAGCTCGGCTTCCGACTAATTTCGAATTCCGAAACCCTAGTAAATCAATCGACGCTCCTGATGTTTGTAACTCCAACAAAAATTTTATATAGTAGAATGTGACCGTATGTTTGTCACCTTAGAGTCATTGCCTTGTGTGCTTTATTGAAATTTGAAACGTATTAGTCCTCAAACTCACCAGCCAGCCTGGTGTCTGCCAGAACATTCTGACGCTCATCAGAAAACTGTTGCGCCAGCCTTTCAAATCGCACCCTTCTGAATTTAATGTTCTTAATCACCCATTGCTGACGAGCTGACCAAGCAAGGTTTAATTGATAGAGCAAGATAGTACCTATGAAAGTTCGACTACTTGTGTTTTCCAAACAGCGCTTGAGAAACAATCCATACTTGCTTTGTCTCGCACCATCACTAATCATTCACAATTCTGAGTAGTATAGAAAGATCGTCCATGTGAACGATGTAGAAACATAGTTGCTTACTTGCGAAAGCAATGTATTCTCTTCGTTCTTGCTCTTTCAAACCTTCAAATGTAGTACAATTGACCTGCTGAGCTCTTTAACTACGTAAAGCGCTCTTTAATTCATTATTGTCATCCAGCAAGTGCTTTCGTTATTTTCATGGCATCATCGTAACTCCAGACTATTATAATGCGAGATCAACAGCCTCAGTCGCATGTTTATGCTCAACATCGACGTATGAAAGCAATCCTTTGTTATGCCACTTTTCCCAACTCATCGATGGTATGTTGTACCAACTTGGTGGTTAAAAACTGGGTTAATTACCCAAATTTGAGGTCTACGACTGAGGAGCAGTCCTAGGTCCCATGTGTAATGCACAAGACAACTCCCACTCCTGATTTACTGTTACAACGATATTTTGCAGTAAAAGAGATTTATATGACACTAGCAACTATCGCCCAACTTGCTTGCCGTCTGTTGTCCGCAGGCTCTTCAGTGAAATTATTCTCAATAGAATTAGCAAGACATTGTACTAAGTAATTGCATGAGGAAGGAGGGCCGACTACGATTTTTCGTAAAACTCTATGCATAATCTACAGGCTAGTATTCAACTCAACTAAATATCTCGAAGGAGAAAACACCACTAAACAGATGTTCCAATATAATCCAGTTAGTGAGGTTCTTTATGATTCAGGGTGAAATAGACGCAGCCAAGAAAGACTGGACAAGGTCATCCCTCTTGAGCATACAAAGGTTTCCAACACCCACACAGCACAATGGAAATTCCACCCTTCCAAAACGACATTATTACTAACGTAAAGCGGAGAGTTTGATAAGGCGATAGTGCTTCTTCTTGTTTTAACTCACAAAGGAGTACATATTTTCGATCGATGGTAAATGATCCTCCCAACGGTTTACCGCCTCATTGTGGCTGGGAGGTGTCCCTGGGTTTCTGGCAACGATGTACAGCAGGGGCATTTATATCCCCAGCACGGCCTTCCAAGCTGAGGAGTCCGGCATTTCCACCAAAACTAGCTAAGAGTGAACCACTACCAGAATCCACCAGTCTTGATAACAAACTAGTCGCACGGTGGCAAATCTCCCTCTGATCCACAAGGGCTGCGACTGCCTGTAGCGGTGGTGACCTTAGGCAGACCCACAATGGCTTAGCTAGCAAATCTCTGAAAAGTGGAGATTAATCTGAGGCCAGCACAGCCAGTGAGGATGGGCCGTTCAAGTATCAAGTAAGATAAAATGACCTAATTTCTTCTTACTCTTTCGTGCCCTCACATGTGTCGTTCCGTAAGTCATATGTGTATTTATCAAAAAGACGTTCCTTCATTTTTAGAACAAAAGCATTTCGTGTTAGCGCACAGATTCAAAAAAGGATTTTGGGAAAGGTCCGAGTGAAAAAGTCAAGTATCTCAAAAAAGTGGCTCTAAACACTTGGATGGATCGTTGTACACGTGTTACCGCACGCGTAGGAAACTCAAAAATGACCATGTAGGATGGTTTTCGTCTTCGACCAAAGAGTTGAGAGAGAAAATTCAAGATCAGAATAATTAACTTATCTACTTGAATACTTGGATGGTAAGCACTCAATGGTTGTGCTGGCCCCCGCATAACCACCATTTTTCGGAGGTTTGCTGGCTAAGCCATTGTGGTTCACCGGAATTCTGAGGTCCACCAAATGATTAGTTTGATACCTGGACGCTAATGGATCCTGGTATTGGGTTAGTTTTAGCTAGGCTCTCTGATGGAAATTCCGGACTCCACAGCTTGGAAGGCCCTGCCGGGAGTATAAATCCCCATTTTACATCGTTGCCCAACACCGAGGAACATCTCGCAGCCAAGATGAAGCGGCAAACCGTTAGGAGGCAAAGGCTTTGTGCTTTGTTCTACAATATAAAGTTCCAATACGCGTCGATAATCAAAAATCAAGGACGCAACTGCACGAGCAAAACATCAGGTGGACTGAACACGTGATTTCTCCTATGAATAACTCCGAAACAAAAACCTAAAATACAAAACACAACTCCTAAACAAGGTAAGTCACCCCTGTGAGTTGCCTCACGCGCATATTGGACGCGAGACAACCCCAGTGATCACGCCTAACGAGAACAACCTTCGAACGAGGAATACGATGATGTTTTGAAGTCTTTCGAGCAGAGAAAAACACCTTGACATCACAAATATGCAATAATCAGTTGATGATCAGTGAGAAGAAACACTACCTATACGACGACCCGCAACAAACGAAGTTCCGCATTCAAAATTCCCGCGCAAAATGCGATAAGCGTTGGCTCCGCCCACCTGCACATCTAAGTAGTAGCGCTGTGTGATGACGTCACGCGCGCATGCGTGTATAAATACTCAGTCGGTCGTCAGTCAGCACAGCGGGTTGGTGAGTGCTTTGATATGGTGCTTGCAGTTTGCGTTCGATATGCGTTTTGAGAAGTTCATCTTCGTCGCATTGAACAGCAATGTTACGAGCAGACGTTGCAATAATAGTCGGCAGAAGTCATTTCGAACTAGTAATTTAGGGTTTACTCACGAATAAGCTGACTTTTCGACGGATTTCGCCTTTAGCACTTTCTCTGTTTGGTTATGGAAGTGGTAGGTTGGGTACATAGCGGTCAGGTTTCAGGCTCTGAGGAAAGCGAAATCCATCGAGACGGCAGTTTGTTCTCGAATTAAAAAAAACAACACTTCGTGTTTGCTGAACTTAGTGTTTACTTGTTTATTACTGCTTCGTGCACATCTAGAAGCCAAACGTACCATGTACGGCTGTTGTACAGTTTGTCCGAGAGGTTTTGCTTACAGTAACGCTTTTTGTGTTATAGTAGATCTATAGGTGCTCTATTGAGTACAGTACTTGATAACACCTGTTTAGACTGACATCCCACGAAAATGGCACAGACAGGAGGAAATACCATAGTATGTTGTCCTTTTGTTTTTGTTCAATTCATAATACTTGAAGCTCGCAAAGCTTAGGGATAAACGAGGCATTGCTTCCCTCTTACTCAAGCTGTATAACGTCTTCTTGTTTTTCATCAGAGCCGATGATGCGAGTCGATGACCCACAGTTGTTCGTCTTCCCGACCTGGACCATCGACTCGGATCATCGGCTCTGGTGAAGAAGTCGAAGATGTCGAAACGTTAGCCGAATAAAGACTATTTGTCAACTTCATGTAAGCCTATCAAAGAAAGAATGTATATTGACTAGTCATACCTTGTTTAAAGGAAAGTCAGGTTTGAAATGTATAACCGTGTTTGGGATAGCATTCCAAGACAGACAAATTGACCAGTATTGATTTTATTCTTCTCCAGTTTCAGGCCGAAATATACAAGGGAGTTATACAGGATGTTATAAGTCAAGTGAAAGAAGCATTTCTTGACGAGAACGTGGATATCGATGTGCTTTCACAGTTGAAAAAGGTAATTTTTATACTTAACACAATTGTGACACCGTTGGTTTAACGTCTATTTGAATCTGGTTTGCTCTGGTATTGATCGAAATGGACACAGTGCAGAGAATTTGTTGGTATAATCATCCATAGGGCACATATAGCTCAGTGGTTAGAGACCCTCTGCAATACACATGAGATCGATCCCGCGCCACAGGCTCACTCAGCCCTCCATCCTTCCGTGGTCGGCATATTGGTACCCTACTTTTCTGAGAGGATAGAAGCACTGGGTCGATACATCAGTAGGCCACCGCGAGTCATTGTAAAGGCCAGATATGCATTCAATTACCTCCAACGACAATGAAGTCGATCGGATGACACAGCCTTCAGGGATTGATCAGCACCGAGAGCCTTTCTACTTAATTTTTATTTGTACTCATCTATTAAGAACAACGTATTTGCAGCATGAGAGTTTTCCTTTCTTTAGGACAAGTGATTTTCGATCATATGTTTTTTCGCTGTTCAGGAATGGGAGGATAAAGTGATAGCTAGCGGTTGTGTGGACATGGAGCCTCGGCATCAGGTTGCGCCTCCCCCGATGCGTCCTCATGTTATGCAGCCACGCATGGGCACAGTAACCCAAGTCCGGCTTCAAGCGGCACCACAGGTTTTATTTGACTGGCAAAATTATTATATTTTTACTGCACTGTCCGTATGTTCGAACTAATTTGTCGTTTTGATGTTTACAAATGCCACTGGCTACGATGATGATGTATTTCCTTATACAATTTTTAACGTGGTAGAGTAATTACTTTACGTTTTACCAGTATCCACCGCCCTAGCGATTGAATAGGCGTAAAATATGTATGTAAATATAGTTCAGTAATGGGAACTGTCGACATTGCATTATAACCAGTGAAGGCAGACCATCTAAGTATGTTAACAACACCTAGGTTAACATACTTAGATGGTCTGCCTTCACTTGTTATTGCAGGCCCCAGCATAATCTCCACTTTTTCAGAGTTCTGCAGGTTTAACTACTGTATTTTCCTGGAGTTCCAAGGTCGGCATGGCCAAACTGTGCTCCAGGTCGTCACCACTATAGGTAGTCGCCCTGCTTGTAGGTCAGAGGGAGATTTGCCACCATGTGACTGGTTTTATACCAGGGCGATGGTGAACCTGGTATTCGTTTACTTTTAGCTGGGCGTCCTGATTGAAACGTCAGACTCCTCAGCTTGGAAGGCTCTGGCTGGGGATAAATCCCCCTGGTGTACATCGCAGCTCGATAGCTAAATTTGTGTTTAAATGTACTAACTTTTTTGCTGACATGCTTTCGTTAAATCGGTGGGAAAATCATCCGAATTTAAATATGACTTGAAACAGCCTTGATTTCGACGTTAAACGGATTCCTTCTTAACCACAATCGCGACAAGTAGGCATTTTTGTCAATGTATATGTAGAGTGAGGGCCGACTGAGCGATACGTGTTGATTTGAACTTTCCTTGGTTTACTTTGTTGAGCGACGTTCTCTTATGCCACACTACTGTTTCACTGATTATTTACCGTTGATAACTGTTGTTCCTGTATCTTCCAAGAAAATATTTTATTTGGACATCAGTGTTTGCAGAGAAATTTCTAAAACTTTATCCACCATCCTATAGGCCTGTTATGGTCAGGATGGTGAGAGTACGACAGATAGAGATGGTGATAAGAAGTTCCGCTGCACAAATTCAAATACATGGCGTAGGCTTTGGTCGGTGTTTGTTGAGTTCAATACATGTACTCTAAGCAAAAACTATGCGCTTTCTCGAGTGTGTTTAAAAGTAGGAACGTAGACTCATACCCTCTTTTTCCTTTGAAAAGTCTGTATTTGGTATGATTTTCATGAGATTTGGATTTAGAGACTTTCTTTAAAACGTCCAAAACATAAATGGTAATATTGAAAAATATCTTCTGCGCTAGTGAAAAGTATTTGCTGCACATACTTCTAGATGGTGGCACCGTCGCACCCAAGTGTTGTAAGCCATATGGAGCAAGGTCGACCTCTACAAATGCAATATGTTCCACAGCAAAGTATGCAACAGATACAGGTTCAGGTTTGTGTGCATGCAGTTTCCGTTGTTATGGCATACGATAGGGCGAATGTAGCGTAGTGTTGAGAGGCACACTGCAGTGCACATGGGATCGATCCCCGCGGCAATGGCTCACCAAGCCTTCCATCCCTTCGTGGTCGGCAAATTGGTACCAGACTTGTCTAGGAGGATAGCAGCACTGGCTCGATACATCGGTAGACCACCGTGGATCATTGTAAAGGGCAGATATGCATTCAATCACTTCCAACGATGCTTGGTGAAGTCGAATGCTTAGTGCATCCATCAGATATTGATCAGCACCGAGAGCTTTTTTTATGGCACTTGGCGAAGACGATATAACAGAAAGGCTGAAGTAGAGCGTAAATTTCTTACATTTCCAATCGTCATATTATAAAGCATGCAGTTTAGAAATAGTAGGGAGCGTCAATTTCTTTTTTTTTTATTACCAAACGACTTAAAACGACGTGTTCAACGAGTTTTCTGGTTGAGATTATCTTTTTTATGTTGTTGAGAATATCTTTAGATCTGTATGTGTATAATCATTCCTTTAGCAAGTTCAACATGGAACTGTACCAACTGGGGTGGCTTTCTCCACACAGAGTGGTGTTCGAATGGTCCAAGCCATACAGTCTCAACCTGGTCAACAGTACGTCATCGCTCAGAGTGGCCAACAGCTGCAACCTGGTGTGATGTTTCTTCAACAAGCAAATGGTTCGACTTTGCCTTTATATAGATTCATGAAACATGTTGTTGGGTCTCTCTTCTTTGCTATTTGTGCACTTGCCAGCACTTTTTCGTTTCGATTAGTTTCTTCGCATTTTGCTTGTGGTTTCGGTTACTTACCGCTTTGAGATTTTTGGTCTCTATGGATGTGGTTGAACGCTGGTAATCCGATTCTTCCTGTAGTCAAAGGATAGCCGTATTAGCGCATCGAATTGTTCATCAAAACTGGAGACCAACTAGTATTTGTAAATCGGAAGAAGCTTTTTTCTGGGCAGATATTGTGCAAATTTAGCTGCACCGGATGGTTGGGAAGATTCGTTGACCTTGTTCGCGGTCTGACCAGGGCCTAGTACTTATCACTGGGTATTTCAAAACCTTTTGCGCTGCACGCAGGAGTGATATTATTTTGGGTTAAGAATGTGGGGAAACTTCTCAGCCGTAAGACCTTGGGACCTTGGAATTGTTGTGAATTCCAATAAAGATTGGATTCGATTTTAACTATGCCGTCGGACAAGATTATTGTTACTCTGTTTCTCCATGTCTAGTCCTCACCGAATTCAGCGTTCCTGATCTTCATTCATCGAGCTCTTTAAGTAAATAGATTTTTTTCTACCTGTTATATTGTTCAACTTACATGAGGTTACTATTAATATCCGACTGACCTTGCCCCTCAGGAACGGGCTTAGACAATCGGCACGAATCAGTCCGTCTCTAAAGAAGACGTTGACGTGGGAAAGTTCGCCGAATAAGTTTTGAACCAACCTGGTGTAGGCTGAGCAGAGTTTAAAAACCATACTGGTTATACACGCCAAGGTTGAGTGGTGGGTGGTTTTCAAGAAGTACAGGTTTTCTTGTACTACTTTCGTAAACGGGGTATTAGTGCGCCGGTTTTCGATATAGTTGTGGAAAAACTCAGTCATCAATCCTCCAATGTAATCGTGGCAACATTTTTCTGGGGTTGATGTTAGGAAAGATTTGTCCACACTTGAAACTGACTAGCATAGTGTCTGCGGTGAGGTTCCAACCTCGTTATTACCCTTTCCGGGCGCTAACGTGTTCACCACCACACCGTGCGAGTCCTTCATTTCGCCTTTCAGCTTTGTAAGAACGTAATCATCACAGTGTAGATTGTCTACAAGTTTTTCGTAGAGTACCACTCCTCTCCTGTACCGTCGCAATTTTCCCACTCAGTTTTGGATGTTTGCGCTGAGTAGAAATGAATTAATTTCTGCATTGTCTTTCTGAATCCAATTACTACTTTGTATGGAAGTCTGTGAGTGAACTTTGTAATCTTGCAACTGACAAAATTGAGTAGAGGTCCGCGAGTGCTCCTTGAAGCTTTTGCAGCTTCACCAATGCTGTTGCTCTTCTATCTTTATGGAGTTCTGTCCTTAGCCACGCAAAACTGGATCCTGGTAAATAAATTAGATCACAATTGTTCGTTCTAAAATCTCTTCCATCAAGGAAATTCTTGGTTCTGTGACATTCGTTCTATCTTCCAAAAAAATTTGTTTTTATGGGAACTACCTTAACTGAAGTCCATTTGTAGAATTTTTAAATATTAATGTGCAATTGCTATTTTGCTTTATGCATTAACTGGTTTAAGGACAACATATCCCTGTAACAGTGGGACCAAACGGGGTGATTCAACATCGTATTCAACAAGCTCACGGAGGACATCAGTTGCATCAATTGGATGGGAACGGATCTTTGGTCGAGGATGAGGTAATGTTTTCAGTATTGTCTCATTCTCAGAGTAAATTGAACCAGAAAATCGGAGTTTTATTTTGATAGTTCTCATTGATTGGCAAAGAAAAGTTAGGTTTTTTTGTTTTCCTTTCAATTAATGAACTTCTCAGTGAGGTAAAATATGGTGGCTTAAACTTGGAAGTGAGAATTGTTTTTGCATAAGTTCACTGAAATCAACGAATGCCGTCACGATTGGGTTAAGTATGAGCTTACTTGACACCTAATATTTACTAGTCATATCATTAGGTCATACGTAAGTTAAACTGATTTCTTGTGGCGTTTTTCTTTTCAGCATTCTGTTGATTCGCCGTGCTCTTCCAAACTTTCTGTCCAAAGACCATGCAAACATCTGTCGAAGAAAAACAGAGACATAACTGGCACGTGTGCATAATATAACTAGTTAAAAATTTAGGTGTAAACGTTGTGTGCCTGAGACAAATACGTTTGCTGATTATTCATATACTATTTTGTTTTCGTAGATAAGCAGGCTTTGGGAATAGCACAAGAGCTTTTGATGGCGCTGCAGTTGGATGGCGGAGGTGGCGGCGGTATGTCAGACTCCTCTAGCGAAGAGGATGAGGTTCGATGTTTTTACTTCTCAACTGTTTTGTTTCTGTTTCTCAGGTACATTTGTTTTTTATCGCGTTTGTTTCATGTGGACGACGATGACGATCCCATTCGACGCATTGCTGACAGAATTGGTGACGGTCAAATCGATGATGGAGAACAGGCAGTTTGTACTTTACGTCTTTTTTTTTGCATTCAACTTAGGCGTTTTCTGAAATTTTAAAAGGGATTATGGATCAAATATAGATCTTGGTAATCGTTTGGTGATATGCAGATGTATAGAAACTGCACAAATTCCATCGAAATGTAATGTTCGTGGTGAATATGTCATGATACAACCACAAGGATGCTGAGATATGAGTAAAGCGCTGAATATCAGGCGATCTTCCAACGCGCTATAACCCTTAGTGGACCGTGCGTGCTATCCACCACCCAAACCAAGGTTCCTGCTTAGCCTTTCCACATTTTTATTCTGTTGTTGTCATCGGCAATCAAAAGAAAAAAAAGCAGGATCAGTAAGGAAAAGTAGGTAAACGCATAGTGGTGGACAGCGTGTGAGCCACCGTTGAACATAATAGCGGACTCGAAGCCCAAATTAGGTTATGAGCTTTGATCATATTTCGAAATCCTTTTGCTTGTATTTCACTTAATACACTGCCATGAAAAAACAAGAGGAATAGGCAATAAATATTAATTCAAACATTGTGAATTGGACTAAAACTTTAGCTTAACAAGGTTCAGTACCAACTTCTGTTCTCCAGTTCATTCCCATTGACGGCTGATTGCCGGTTGCACGTTAGAGTAAAAAAAAATCACTGCAAGAAAGGCAAAGCAATGATCTCAGTTGGTATGGTGGGTAGCACTTAATTCTCGAAATAAGTGATTGTGGGTCCAAATGAGGCTACAAGTTTTGCTCATATATGAGTATCGTTCTAGTTGTGCCATGATCTAGTTTATTCCTTCATGTTAAGTAAGTTTATTTTATGCACAAGAGTAGAATGTTTGAAGCTCTGTAAGTTGAGCTTAATTGATCTTCTTGCATTCTAGTTTGCATTATATAGTTTTCCATTCTTATGAAAATCTCTTTCAAGATTGTCGAGGAAGATCCTCTGAATTCTGGTGATGACCAGAGCGATGATGAGGACTTGGAGACCTTGTTTGATGCGGACAACGTTATTATGTGCCAATTTGAAAAGGTAGATTCTGAATTAACAAATGCTTTATGTTGAGCTTGTGGACCCGTAGTGACGCAATAGTTGGAGACGACCTGCAATACACGTGGGATCGATATCGGCGCTCCAGACTCACCATGCTCTCCACCCCTCCGGGGTCGGCAAATTGGTGCGAAACCTGTCTGGGAGGATAGCAGCACTAGCTCGACACATCGGTGGGCCACCGCGACTCATCGTAAAAGGCAGATATGCATTCCATTCACTTTCAACGATGCTTAGTAAAGTCGAACGCATGGCACATCTCTCATGGTTTGATCAACGCCAAGAACTTTATCCTTTTTGTGTTGAGCTTTGTTCTTAAAACTCTCTGATGTTAAGGGGTAGTGCGGATTTGGTGGTTTTATTTAGTCTTTGTAGTTTATTCAATAAAATAGTTTAGGTCCATCGTGCAAGAAGCAAATGGAAGTTTCAGTTAAAAGACGGAATAATGCACATCGATAATAAAGACTACTGCTTCCAAAAATGCAGTGGGGAAGCTGAGTGGTGACGTCGCAGGAACTGGTAGATTTTCTTCCTATTACGTTGCCTTGAGCTACATCGCATATTCATATTTCGCCAATGGTCTTTTTTTTGGAATTCTAGACGAGTTTCCCGGACCAGTCATAAAATACTGGTGTATTCCTATTTCTTAGAGCCTATATTCTGTGTAGGATTTGGTGATTAAAGAGGGTTTTATTGTTTTACTGAAGCTTCTATAAATGCCTCTACGAAACGCTACCATTCTGTCCGCTCAATCCCTATAACTTTGGAAATATCTTTTCGGAAATTGTTGCCTTGTATAGTTGAAGTGCAGTATATACTTCTTAATAGCTTCTCAACACGGTTTTCATTTCACTAATGATGGTATTTTCACTTCCTGGTTACGTACTAACATCTTTGCAACTTATAAGCAAGGTCAATGCTACCTAGTCCCCATATTTTTTGTTTCACAGATAATGAGACCTTAATTCTTTCAGTAAGCGTCTTAAGTGACTCGTTTTATGTGAGATAATTGAAGATGTGCTCGATGGGATATTGTTCATATGGAATGTTTACTTCCAATAGTCATTAGTTGGTCGTGAATATTTCTCTCGCACTCGATAGAATGTTTCAATTTCATATTCTTCAGTAGCAATTCTACTAAGATGCTATTGCTCATCGTACATTTCCTTTTTCCTTTTTGTGATATAAAGTGACGAGTTCAAAGGGAAGATTGGAGTTTATTAATCTATTCGTTTGTTGTAGAGCTAATGAAGCATATACTCCCAGTTGTTCGTGAGTAGAATGATGTCTACAAATCAGCACTTTGTTTACTGATGTAAATCTAGATGTATGGTTACATTGCTCCTCCTTTTTATTTAGATGTATGCAAGCATTCTTGATCGAGCATTGGACGATTTACGTGCGGTGCTTAAGTTCAGTGGTGTAGAGTTCAGCATCCAACTAGTTCGCGCTTCTTTGTTGAGAATTAGCCTGCAACTAAGGTAAAGCGTTAGAGATAGACATAGTATATCCACCATTTCTGGTGCGTGTAGCGCAGCGGTCGGGAGCGCTCTGCAATACACATGCGATCGATCCATGCACCCAGGCCCACCAAGTCTTTTATCCCTCCGGGATCGGCAAATTGATACCAGACTTATCTGGAGGATAGCTGCACTGGCTCGGTACATCAGTGATTCACCGCGAATAATTGTAAAGGCCAGCTTTGAGTTCAATCACCTTCAACTATTCCATGAATGGAATGGAATGCATGGAGCATCCCTGAGAGATTGATCAACGCCGAGAGCTTTTATTCTTTATATTTTAAATGTCCTTCGTGAACGTCCGACATTGTGTACATTTGCACGTTAGGAAAGTAATTCCTCCTGTCAACTCTAAACCAACATAACTCAAAGTAAACTTTGCTAAGGACAGAAGATAAAGTATTCAGCGTACGTTAATACTTGAGACATGCGGCATGCAAACGACTTCATTGGATATCAATGGAGGTGATTTAATGTATATTTCGGGTATACAATGACTTTAGGTGGCATACCGATGTGTCAGCGCAATGGTGCTATCCTCTGAAACAAGTTTGTTACTGATTCTTCGACTCCAGAGGAATAGATGGCTTGAACACTGGACAGGTGGTTCAACCAGTGATTGGCCAAGTTTGTATTACGATGTGCTGCGCTTAACGCAATGTTTACTACTTATGACAGAAAGTATTAGATTCAACAATTTCTTCCAACTATTGGCTTGCCTGGAAGTAATGTAGGTTTCCAACATGCATTTTGAAAAGTGGCATAGTTCATCTTTGCATAAAATTTGTTAATGGAAACTGCAACTTTTAGAATCTTCACATTCTTGCAAACGGGAGGCAAAGTTATTTACACCAGTTGCTTAGAATTCTGGAGTTCTTGAGGCGTTGAAGTCGTAGAGGACTGCTCCGGCTTCGGCTTTCTTTTTAAAGCATTTCTCGCAAAGGAAGCTGATGAGACGCTTGATAGAATAGATTTGTTGAAATCCCTATTTCCAGTTTCAAATTCTAAAATAGTTGATCAATCCTGAGGGATGTGCCATGCCTTTGACTTCATTCAGCATCGTTGGAGGTGATTGAATGCATATCTTGTCTATACAGTGACTTGCGGTGCCCTGCGATGTATCTAGCTAACGCTGCTATTCTCCCAGACAAGCGTACCAGTTTGCCGACCTCCGAAGGATGGAGGACTTGGTGAGCGTAAGGTGCAGGGATCGATCGCAAGTGTATTGCATGGCATCACTGCATCGCCAGCATGAGTAGTTTATATTTATATATTAAGTCTTAACGACATTCACGTAGTAGGCATAGTTATAATTATAAATAAATTAATTATGGTACCTGTGTAGAAGACAAGACAAGAATTCGGGCTTAGTTCACATCCGAGTTGATACTTTTGTTTTTTTTTAATACATGAAACTGTTGGTCTGTTTGCGAGACCTCAGTATCCTTATTGAATAGGTGTGGCACTGTGCATCAATTATTTCTGGACATCGCCTCTCTGTTGGTACAACGTTCCATGCTCAATGCGCTGGCTACCGTGTTGGGTCCTGTTTTGTATCAGGCGTTGTATTCACGTCTTAATCACCGTTCGATTTCAAACAGGTGAGTTGAGTGGGGCTATTCAGCAGGAAATCAAACACTCGAGCTACCCTGCCAGTCTACTGATGCTGTGTGCTAAATGCCATCTTTTATTTGGCTTCACGATACAAAATATATGAAAATGTGAAAAATTAGGCAATATTAAGACTAGGCTTAGTTCTCCGTGCACCTGATTTCTCATTATGAGTCGTGTATCTCTTAATATTTTTTTCACGTAATACCCTTTTGCTATCTTTTGGTATAATACGGCGAAGTTTGTGTACGATATGTGCAAGTGTAGGATTGTATGAGAGCATTTCGGCAATAGCAGTCAGTAAAAAAAAACTCTCGTAGTTGATCAATCCCTAAGGAATGGTGCATTCGACTCGCCAGTCGCCATACATTCGACTTCATTAGACATCGTTGGAGGTGACTAAATGCTTATTTGGCCTTTACAGTGATTTGAGGTGGCCTACCGATATGTCGAGAGAGTGCTGCTATCCTCCCAGACAACTCTGGTACCAATTCGATAACCCCGGAGGGCAGAAAACCTAGTGAGTTTGGAGCACGGAGATCGGCTCCATGTGTATTGCAGGGCGTCTCCGACCACAGCGCTACACACGGCCGGCAGTAGCATTACTTCCCTTAATTACGTACTGTTTCCCACCACTAAGCTAAGTGAGGTAGTTTAGCAGATATGTTCTAAGTAGTTTTGAACTCCTGGTCGTGGAAGGTAGTCATTTTTGTACATCTTTCTCACGTGGTTATCATGAATTATCTTCACTCGTGGTAAAAAGCATCTCGAATTTGGATTCGAGTTGTTTAGTTTTTGGCTGTAAAAGTGTTGTGTTAAGTTTTAAAGTCAAAATTTTTAATGTAACTTGTTAGACAATTCAGCTTAGTTTTTTTTAGTTTTCTTTAGTTTTTTAGAATATGACAATGGTTATCTGAAATTGCTGTGATTCTTTTGAGCCTACTTACAATATGGTAGTTGAACTGCAGTGGGGTGCCGTTTATAACTTCCAATTTTTTTTGACAGGATTTATGTAGACAAGCGTTAAAGGGTGTTCTTTAGTTTACAGTATAAGAACTGAAACATGTTTTGAGTATAAGGATCCAGTACCATTGCTTAAATGCTTGTTTTTAGAAGGAGAGGGCCTTTCAAGAATGTTTATTTCTGACGAATTCCCAAACCACGATCATTGAGTAGAAGAAGTCCTACTCCGTGGTGTCCCAACGAGTAGTTATCGTACTTCCCGTTTTGAATCTCTGATAGTCTAGTTTTTTCTGCTGAATATTTCTAGAATTCTTTCGAACACTTTCGCAACATTGCGACTCGTCTTCTTTTGAATATTTTTAGAACTTCGCAAAGTTATATATTGATTTTAATTCATATGTGGTCGAAAATAGTTTGACCTTTCAACTTCGAAGGCAAACGCCTTACGCTCCGTTCTTCGTGGTTGCCGCACACCCGGAGCATAATTTGGTATCGTTCTATCGGTTGCGAACACCAAATTCCACTACGTTTGTCGGTTATGTGGGTGATAATAGCACTGCTACTCACTGAATTACTGTGGTCCTCCATGTAACCACAATGCTGCCAGTGTTTCGAAGTGTTCTACTATTTTGAGTCTATTCATGTATTTTAAACTCTTCCATTCTGTACGATAACCATGATTGCTTGCTTGTTTAGATGCTTAGATGGCTCGTCTTAACTGGTTTTGCGGGCATCAGCATAATGCACATTTTTTTGGAGTTGCGCTGATTTAGCCACTAGGTTCCTTTTGTGGATCAGAGGGGGATTTGCCACAACGCGACTAATTTGGTACTAAGACGGTGACGGATCGTGATATTGGTTTACTCATAGCTGGGCTTCCTAATGGATACACCGGACTACTCAGCCTGGGAGACCCTAATGTGGGGATTAGTCCACCCCCTGTACATCGCTGCCCGACACCCAAGAACACCTCCTAGCCACGATGTGGCGGTAAACTGTTGGGAGGATGACCATGGTTTATCAAAGTAATTGCAAATGAACTCTAATAATGATCTTTACATGTCGCACATTACGACGGTGGTTTTAGATGGAGTAGTTTTCGCGCAGTACCTCTTACAAAAGAGGCTGGTTCCAACTTGTTCAAAGTTTGTTTGAGAAGAGCTACATTTACGGAATTTTAGTGTATTCTAATAGCAATCCTTCCGTAGCTGGACATATGGCTCTGTAGTAACGAAATTTGTGTACGGTTTGTCCGGGTGGTTGAAGGCATCTCTGTGTTGATAACTGGTATGCAAGTCTCTCCTTGGTTGAGAACTTAGTGGAAAGAAACATTCATCTTGTTGGCACCTATGTGAAGAATAGAAAAAGACATCCTAAGCAATTCATTCAAGTGAAGCTGAAGAGAGGACAA